CGATGTCAGCGCCAGGGCATGGACCTCCGCCGCCTCCAGAGCCCACATCTCCCCCAGGATGCCCCCCTCCAGCATGAGGGAGAGAGCCACTGCCGGGCACGTCCGATCCACCGCCGTGCCCAGCACCACCTCCACCCCCTCCAGGACTCCCTCCAAGGCCACCGCAAAAGCCACTGCTACTGCCAGGGCCGCCTCCGCCTCCGCTAGGCCCTCCCCCACCGCCGCCGCCCCCAGGGTCATCGCCGAACAGATCATGGGGTAGTCGCCTCATCAGACTGGGGCCGTCAACATAAAATATTATCTCTACCGCTGTGTCTCGGTACTTCTTGCCGAGAAGGCGTTCGCTAGTTGTCGGGGTGTTGATCCGGACTGGATGATGCCACATACCTAAAGCTTTCAATGCATTCCCTTCTTGCCGCATAGCTTGGCATCGAGGCCCCACGGAATCCAAAAAAGCTGCGCCCTCAGTTTCCAGAGCCTCGGTTATCTCAGGAACCACTTGCGCGAAAGCCAGGTGCAACGAGCTCGCCGACGGTGCCAACTTGAAGGCCCTGCTGGCGAGAGAGTGGCGACTCTCGATCAACCTGGGAACTGGCGGAGGAGGAGTGGGGATGGCGAAGCAGAGGGGCAGCGAGCAGCAGGGGGAACAGCAGCAGGGGCATCAGGCATAAGGAGCAAGAGGCGGAGCAGGAGTGGGGAGGAGAAGGGAGGAAGGAGGCGGGCGCGCCCTGGAAGCTGGAAGGATTCAGATCGCTTCTGCCACCCATTCCCCCCCGATTCCCCAGGCAATCCTGAAGCCCGACAGCCCTGAATCCTTGAATCCTGGATCTGATTGGGGGATGGGGAGTCCCCGCGGATGAGACCTGGATCCTGGATCCTGGACTTTCGGTGACCTCGGGACCTCGGGTATACATGCTGCTTTTTTGGGCCCCCCACTTTTCGCAAATAGTTGCGAACTTCATCTGCGCTGCAAATCTCTCCAAGGCTGGCAGCTCGCCCAGGGGGCTTCCGGATGCAAACATCACGCACTGCGCGTGGCCGACACACCCAGGAGAAAGCATAGCCGACACAAGATGGTGCCTTCGCACGTCGTCTGAGCAAGTCGGGTATAAAGCGATGCCACGTTGAATACAGCGACGAGCCACTTGGACATCATGGTGGGCTACCCCGAACAACACCCATGGCAATTGTCTCCAGAACGACAGCTTGACCTGCAAAGTGAGCTGACAGCGCCTCCGTGCTCTACCAAACTCTGCCACAATAGATGCCTTATCCTCGAGGGGGTGATGAGCAGGAGACAGGAGACTACTGACTCTGGAGGGGGGGAGGGGGATCGCACAATAATGAGAAGAGGGATGAGGACGAAGAGGGAGAGAGAGAGAGGAGGGAAGCGGAGGAGCGAAGGGGAATAACGAGACGGGCAGGGAGGAATAAGGCATCTCCTGAGCAGAGAGGTCGATCAAGCACGGGTGCAGGCACAGCTCGTTTTGCGTTCTGTGCCACAAAGCTCGGAGCACAGTGTTCAAACCTCCAGCGGCCATCTCCGGTGCCCGCGACGTCTGAAGTGGACAAGGGCATTTTCTAGCCAACCTTCGTCGGCGAACTACGTCTGCAGCATGTCTCTGGGGGCCTTGCAACGCTCTCGATTTCCAATGGCATGGGCAGACTCCGCCCATTGCATGGCCATGTCCATTGTCTCGCCCACCGCGTCGATCATGTAAGCCTATGCCCAGAAAACCTTCGAGTTGATGGCTCTATCAGCTATCTCTAAGTTGATGTTGTGCTCTGGATTGTCATCTTGATCTCGTCGAGCATTGCGGCTACGTCCAAGGGTGTACTTCTGCTTACTCAACGCAGCCCTCAACGAGGTTCCCAACAAAAGCAACTGACCGACAGCATGCGATACCGATGTCCATCGTCCCTCGTAGACCCCAGAACTGAAGCTTGCGTAGTCGTTGCGATAGTGGCTGAAAGGGAGCTCGTTGAAACATGTCTCAAGCAAACGTTGTCTGGACCATTTTCGAGCGAGTAGTCGGCACACGTGGCGTAGCTCCTCTATGAAATCGCCCCACTTCTCCAACACTAGATTCAAATCCTTAATACAGTTCGCGACGATGTGCAGCACGCTTGATATGTAAATCCCACGTGTCAGCTCAATACCTAGGCTGCTCCAGTCGATGTCTCCATCGCAGCGTGGCTCGTGCGGGTCTTGCTCCTGATGCGGTTGCTCTGGTTCAATTTCAAACTCGCTCACATTGGCCTCAGCAGCTGCAGCGGGGGCAGGGGCACCCGGTTGAAAATCGAACGGCGCAAGCGGCGCAGGAGCGCCCCCGCCGCGATCGGCATTTTGATTCGTAATCCAAGGTCCGTATAAATCAACAAACTTACACTTATAACCAAAGAGCCTGGACTCAGCGCCCATATCACCCGTGCATGTGAAGGCGGCGTTGACAAGCTGCGCTGCGGATTCCCAAGATGAAGACACTAGGCGTTGAGCGTGGACGTGCGCGTGCAATTTGTAACGCATGTCCGCCCTGCCACTGCCCACGGCCACGGGCGTGCCCTGCTTGAGTGCGAGGATTGCTTTCAGGTCGTTGCGAAGCTCCAATATGCGATGTTCCATCTCGTCGCCGATCTCATCAGGGTCCTGGTCAAGGCAACCACGACATGCAAGGATGTATTCGTTCGCCTTCGTAAACGATGGCAGTGCCTTGGCCATTGTAGTCGTAATGTGGCCGTAAAGAAGCCAATCCCAGCCTGCTTGTGGGGAGGCATCCATGGTCATCCAGCGCATCGCCTCTCCGGGCCCGTCTCCGAGTAATATATCGTTCAAGTAGCCCTGGTAATTGCACCACCCGAACACCAACATGAACCGATGGTGGTGCAATCTTGACGGCGACGGCGGCTTGAAAGGGCCCTTCAGCAAGCCAAGGAGGTAACCCCGTTGATCTTCATGTGGTACACCTGCGTCAATGGCACGCTCTAATGCTCTCTGATAATTATTTGTGGACTTCAGGGTGCCGCTGAATAAAAGACACTTCACAATGACTTCAGCTGCATAGAAGCTTTTGGATAATGCTGCGCAGTCCAAAACCATACCGTTGTACACTCTATCCAACACAGGAATCAGACGCTGAGCATCTTCGGCTGCTTTCTGTCGCTGCTCAGCGTTGTCGCCCATGCTTTGGCAGCGCTGGCGTAAAGAGTCTGCTATCTGAAGCACCCCTCCAGGTGATGATACAGAGAAACCTTCAGCGCCAACGTTCTCTGGAGCAGGAGGACGTTCAACATGTAGGATGGCTCGGAGGTGCCATAGTCCTAGTGATCGCTGTAGTCGCCTGCTTGCTGGGAAGGGAATCAAGCAATTTGCCCAGGCACCGTGTCTCAGCAGCATTGCGTGGGGCAGAGGTACATCAAACACAATCCTACCATCCAGGTCCTCGCATCCAGTCTCTTCGCCCCACGATTGCAACATGTCTTTCACGTGCGCCCCTGCAGTGGGCGCGCCCGATTGGCAATTCCCCAAAAGGTCTGCGCTGGCACGAGTCATTCTCCAGAACATTCCAGTCTGTATCTATGCGAGCGAAGACGGCTGAGCGATTTGTTTGTCTATGAGTTCGTTTCGCAGCACTTCAAAGATAAGCATATCGTGGCCACCCCGCGCTGAGCAGTCCCAGAAACTCTTCGCAGCTCTCTGCTGCTGCGTGAGGACACTGAGAGGCGCAGCACACGCGACAGGCCGCAACAAGAGAGCACCGACGACATGATTTGCGAAGCCCTCGCATGCATGAGACCACTCCTTGCCAGATGCATCGCGGCCGTCCTGATAAATATTGCTCAAATCGCGTTTGACCAACGGCTGGTAAAGACTAGACGGGGAATCTTTGTTGATATTGGTCTTGCACGGGCGCGCTCTGTCAGGGCGGGCCCTCAGCCACGCGCGCGCAGGTTGCGTCGAATTGAGCCCAAACGGCAACTGAATGCGGCGTGGGACCCGCAGCGAAAACTGATGAGGAGGGGACTTCGGCTGGGAGGGTGTATTGCAGCATTATTGGCGCATCATGGGTTTGTTTTATGGTACTTTATCCCCTTAGTGTTTCCTCTTCTCTTTGTTTATCATCTTTTTTTCTCCTCTCTCTTCTCTCCTCTACCTTACTCTTGTTCTCCCCCTCGTTTCTAGGATTTCAGGGGCCAGGGGTATTTAGGGGGAGGGGGGATGGGATATTGGACTGGAGGATGCATTGCAGCATCGCTGATGCATGCTAGGTTCCCTCTGGTATTTATCCTCCTCCCCCTCCTCCTCCTCCTCCGACTCCTACTCCTCCTCCTCCTCCCCCGCGCGCCTCGTGCCTCCGGAACTTGGAGAGCACCATCGGGCCCCGACGGGCCAGAGGGGGCTGGCGGCCGGGCCGCCCCCCTGAGAAAGGCCAGCGGCGAGCGAGGGCGAGGGCGAGGGCGACCCGACGACGACGGCGACGACGACGGCGACGGCGGCGACAGCGACGGCGACGACGAGGACGACGGCGACGAGGACGACGGCGACAACGACGGCGGCGACGGCGGCGACGAACGGGGCGACGAACGCGACTACGTCCGACGCTGGTACGACGACGATGGCGACGGGCGGCGAAGACGACATTATTCCTCCTCCTCCTCCTCCCCCTCCTCCTCATCCTACTACAACCTCCGATCTCCTCGGCCTCCTCCCTCTCATCCTCATCCGTCCTCGTCCCTCCCTCGTTCGTCGGAGCTTCCGAAGCCTCCCCCTCCTCTCCCTTCGCCTCCCTCCTCCCTCCCAGCTCCCAGGAAAGAGGGGGGCGACGACGACGAGGAGCGAGGGGAACGAAGGCGGAAGGATGCCGAGAGGAGGAAGACGAGAACGAAGGGGTGAGACATCGCCGAAGGATAGAGGGAGGGGCAGAGGCGAAGGACAAAGGAAGGGGGAGAGGCAAAGGGGAGAGTTGGAGGTGGATGTGACACGGACCGTGTCCAAGAGGGCATTAGGTCTCAGGGCCGATTCTTGATATCACGGCCAGCGCGTTCGGGTCGTTCGCTCCAGTGGACTTGCACTCGATCGTCCTCCCTGGTCCGGACTCGAGCATGGCTTTGCGGATGTGGTCCTTCTGCTCGTTGGCGAGCGGGGTCTGCCCGCGGCCATCTTTACTGGCTTGCACTGAGCTGGGGCATTGGATCTTGAAGACTCCCACTGCCGCTTTGACCGAGCGTTCTTGCACGATCGTGGACATGCAGTTGCGCTCCATTACGATGCGCGGGATGCCCACATTGGCATCGAGGCTCTTCGTGGCAAGCGCATCCTTCACATCTGCCTCGGTGTCGTACTTACGGATGTCCTCAATCACTTCATGCACTTGGCTTGGCAGCGCCACCTCGGCTTGCTCGATGTTCTGGCGCTCCTGAGCGTTCTTCTTGGCCGCGGCACTTGCTCTATTTTCCTCCTCCTTCGGTTTCTTCAGTGCCTCGGCGCCCGCCTGCTTTCTCGAAGCCTCCCGCTCTCTTCTGCTTTTTGTCAAACCCTGAGACGTTGTTCAGGCACTCTGAGATGCCAGCGCAGCAGACCTTGGTAAGCTTAGCAATCAAGGCGGTGGCATCGGTCACTGCTTTCTTCACGGCGTGGCCCTGGTCCTCCGTTGTGGCGTACTTGGCCATCATGTCGAACTCGTTAAACCGAAAGAACACGGGCAAGTCCTCGGGGTTGGTGATCGGCATCGCCGCGCCCAGGTCTTTCTTCGCGGCGATGAGAGAGAGCAAGCGGAATTTGCTGAGGCGCGAGCAGAACGAGAGCTTGAGCAACTCCTTAAATTGCACTATGCCGCTCTCGAAGAGGGGGGAAGTCGGGCCACCGAGCTTGACGGCGCCATCATCTGCATCGGCCGCGGTCCACTCCATGGACTTGAGCGCGAACTGGACGAAAGACTGCTTCACGATCTCCTGCATCCCGTCGCTGTTCATGATGGCTGTAATATTTTCAATCTTGGCCCCTGTGTAGGTCTTAGTCTTCATGACCTCGTCCACTGCGTCGATGGCCTCACCCAGCCTTCCCACTCCCGGATCGTCGCGGGCCTTCAGCGTAGTCTCGAGTTGGTACCGCACCTCGCGGACGCTTCGTGCAAACCGATGGAACTCCATCTGAGTGAAGCCGTTGCCATCTCCGAACTTCGCGTTGGTGTTGTCCCACCCGGCTTTCGTGAAGAGCGACTGGCGCTGTCCTGTCGTTGATGTGCTTGCCAAGGCCTGCTGCGCCAACTTGATCTTATTCCGCACGTCCGCCGCTGGAACGATCTTCAACGCGTTTGGGTCTGGGCCAGGCGTCGCCTCCAGCGCCGCATCCACCACGGCCAGCGCCTTTACCGCAGCCTGGAGTGAGGTCTTACCTGCCCCGTCGAGGACCACCAGCCCGAAGCTCTCCTCGTTCCCCGGGTGGACAAATATGAAGCGCAAGAAGTCCATGCGATTCAACGTCGCGTCCACGTACCTGAGCTGATTCTCGACGGCGCCATCACCGAAGATGCGCGGCGCTGTATCATTGCAAGCCTTCTCCGAGGATAAGAAGACCTGCGTGATGTTGGCAACGCCTTCCTTGGACTTCTCCTTGATGAAATCTTGCAGCTTAAAGCGATTGATTTCGCCCCGCGCATTCTCTTGCATCGGCGTCGGCTTTTTGTCGGCACTGGCGTTGATCACGACCATTCCTGCGGGTGACGTGCTCGTGCCGTCGGAGAAGCCGCTGAAAGAACCACAGCCAGATCCCGAAATAAAGCCGCCACCGTGTGCGAACGCACCGCCTCCCACGTTGTCGAACATCGAATCGTTGAAGCTCGCGTGGCCCTCGACCAAGCTGGATCGCCCCTCCTCCACCTGCTGCTCGCCTGTGACCCTCCTCTTCTTCGACTCCAACACCGTGGACCTCTCGTGCTCTGAGGTGTTCGCTGCGACGATTGCCTCCTCGACGGGCATCGGCGAGCGCAACTCGCCCTCAGGGCCCTGGTTATCTTGCAGCTTGAGCGGCGTCTCGTTCTTTGCCTTGGTCCATTCCGCCTCGGCAATGTGAGCAGGGGGCATGAACTGCTCGGTCGCCAACTTCATCCATCGGGCCTTGTGCATCTTGACCTTCTTGGCCTCTTGGCGCAGCTGCGCACTTGGAGGAGCATTTGCTCAACAACTGCATCATGTCAACCGCGGAGCGCTTAACGCCTCTCCCCGTCGCTGGGCTCTGAGTGGCGAAGTCGACGACTGCGTTGCTGAAATCGCTGGGGGGATCGCCAGCCTCGCCCTTCATCTTGTTGAGCCTGTCCTGGCCCTCGGTGTTGCCGTTCTTCTTGTTCTGGCCCTTGGTTTGCTTCATCATCGTGTCGAACGTCCTCTTGCCATCCCAGCAGAACTTGCTGTTCGAGGGCATGTCGGGTTTCAGCAACCCGCAGACCATGCGCGGCCCGTGCTGCTTCCCCTTGCGCGGCGTTGCACTGAGACCACTGCCACCTTCTGACGGGGTCAGGGGCCCAAGCGCTTCGAGGTCCATCAGATCGGCCTTCACCTGGGTCTGCCCACGGTCACCTCGAGACAACATCGCGAGGCGGAGGAGTGCGGGACTCGGAGTGCGTGATCCGAACAAGTCAACTCAATGCGTCGGGCAACCGGGAGTCGCCCGCGTGGTGGGCCCGACGTAGCGAGCCTGCAAGCGAGCAAAAATGACAGCGGATAGCGACGGGTGAGACACTGGTAGCAAAAGACCTTTGGGATTCCGACCTTTCCAATTAGACGCAATGTGGATTCAAGCCCGAAGATAGTTCCATAAGCTCTGGCCTGACATCTAAATTGGAGCCAAGGGATGCACGCTAATATTGGGAACGAGGAATAGCACGCTGGCTGGCCTCACGAGGCGTATGAAAAGTCAACATGCGTAAGACATACGATGTGCACTCGACCAAATTGTAAGTTTCAATATCTGTCCTACAACGCTGTGTGCCACCCAGGACATAGGTCAGCGACGGTCAATGGGTAACCTGACATTCACACTCGAGTTCCACGCCGAAAGGAGGAGCAGGAGGCACATGAGGAGAAGAAGGACGAGTCAGAGAGAGTTGGGGGAGGAGGATGGAACGGGAGGAGGACGTGGAGGAGGAGGTGTCTTGGCAGCGAGCGGCGAGAGAGCGGAACCAGCCATCATCAGTGACATCAGCCGAGCATGACTGCACAACGCGGCCAGTGGCCGCAGCACTCAAACCTCTTCTGTAGAGATCGGATCGACTGGCACCCCATGATAAAAAATACAGCGAAATAACGACCCCCCCCCTGCTCCTTCCCTTCTCCCCCCCGCCCTCCCTTGCGGCAAGACGCGACAGCCGAATGCTGTCAGACGCGCTCGCACCCATGAAGGTTGTGCCCCTTTCCCGCGAAGGCCAGGCTCGGGCCGCTCAGGCAGTGCAGGACGAACGCAGCCATGTTCACGATGTGGAAGGCATTGCCTGCAGCTTTCGAAATCCCGTGGTCTGTGATCCACTCGCGCGCTGCCTCCCACATGAAGCAAGGGCAGTCGTTGCTCTCGAGCTCGGGGAAGCAAGCCTCGCCCAGCACGCTCAGCTTCTCGCGAGGGAACATGGGCCCATTCGTGGCCACGTTCACGATCTGAGCACTCCTGAGAAGCGTCGGAACATATGGGCCCAACATGCTCCTCTTAGGAACCCTCTCGAGATCAGCGAGGTAGGCACCGCTGATGGCCTTCTTCTCGGGAGCTAGCGCGCGGATGCCAAGCGCAGGGCCTCCTTGGCCGTCAACGCATTCTCCAAAGGGATATCTGCATGATCTTCAAAATGATTGCCTCGTAAGATGGCCTTCGCCTTGGTGTAGGTCTCGCGGTCATTGGCCGACGCCGCGAACATCGAGTCACCGTCCAAGACGGGGCAAGTGAAGAACACCTCCTGGAACTCTTGCCAAGACCCTGAGAAGTCAACGCGGATGGGTTTCCAAGCGAACGTGAAGCGCCGCGGCCTTCTACATGGCCAGCCCATCTGGAATGGAGACATTATGCCGCTCATGATCTTAAAACCCTTCGGGCTCCAACGCGTCGCGGTAGAAGGACTCTGGGGCATTGTCCGAGATCTCAAAGAAGCAGGCGCCCACGTTCAGTTCCAAGAGGATCTGCAATAATACCTCCCACGCGAGCACCTTGAAGCCGCGGGCGCCGTCGCGGTTCCCTGGCCGGGCGAAATCTTCGCGACGCGACCCAGCAAACATGATTTTCATTCGTTGGCCCCTTGACGTGTCATCTGTCGTCCAGCTCCATGGGCAGGCTGCCCCATGTCGATGGCAGACGCAGGTCGGCACCCCCTGCTGGTCCCTGTTGAACATGGCCTTGTCGATCCGAGACTGCTTTAAGTAGTCCTTCATCTCGCGGTAGGCCATCTCCTTCACGTCGTTGTCAGCGCATGCATGAGGAGTCATGCGATGTATGATGTCCCTGTGCTCTGGCTCGATGAACGTCATGATGTCGCCGAAGACGTGCTCGTAGATCGGTCGTCCTGGCTGCCCCTGGCTCTGCCGTCCGCCCGTCCGCATGCCGAGAAAGATGTTCTGGCAAATGGGGCCCGCATCGGTCGCAGCCAATGATCTACGCGAATCACTCGTTTCGTCCATGCTGGACTTCTTCTTGAAGAGCGTGTTGAGATGAGTCATGATGGTGTAGTCAGTGCCTTTCCCGGAGTAAAACGGCACGGCGTCGAAACCCAGCTTTGCGCTGCGTTGAAGTTGAAGTAATCGAACTGGGCCAGTCTCTGAACATTCCAGACGAGAGTATGCCCAATCTTTTCACTGGAAAAGCTCCTTCACCGTGCTGGGCCCGTCCGCGTACATCTGCAAAGCCTCCCTGTGGTCCAGGCCACCAACGCGGCACCGTTTCATCGGCGGCTGCTCCGCGGATAACGCCCTTGCGGCCACCCACCCCCCCAATGGCCTTAGGCAGCGGAGCACGGCGCAGCAATCCGCTGGAACCGAGAATGATGACGGGCACGAGGAGAGGGACGCTGAGAACGACGAGGTGCCAGCCTTGACTCAAGACCACCATATTGGCGTTCGACTCTTTCATTGTTTGATTATGATGGGCTCGTGGATTCCTACTGGGCCCCTTTGGACACCTACGGCTCCCTGGGAGCGCATGGACCTCTAAAGGCCCCCAGTGATCCGATGGGTTCATGCGGCCCCTATGGCTGGACCAGCCTGCAGCGAAGAACTGGGCCCCAGTTCTTCGAGCTGCGTCCAGCGGGGCCAGCCGCGGCCACAAGGGAGGAAGGAAGGCCCAGGGGCCCAGTCCCCAGTCCTTCGAGTTGCGCCCCAGCCGGGCCAGCTGCAGCGACGAGAGAGAGAGGAGGAGGAGTCGGAAAAGTCCTGCGGCCTGCGGCGCACTGCGGGCCGCCATCCGCTGGCCCGGCGCGCGGGCCGCGTGGGCCGTGGGCCGATTCTATTGCGCGGCTGTGCGATGGCAAATTCGGCTAATGAAAATAATAACGGCATCAGACGATCAGTACATTGGGCACTGGGCCTTGTCATCCGCGTCGCTCTGAACCATTCCGCTGCAAAGAACCGCGCACTTGAAAGGCAACCAATGCGGACAACTCGCGACGAAGCCATACCGCGAACGATAGGCCCACATGTCGTACAACAGCCACCTGTCCAGCTGCTGGCTCCTCTGATTGCGCGATGGGACGTCCAGTCCCCATAGGCAGAGCTCCTCGACAGTGCGGTATACCAATAGCGCCGCAGGCTCGATCCGCGAGAGGATCACTTCACCGTTGCTTGTGGCCAATCGCCATACACGTGCGTCAGTGTAGCACCTTCCGCCAGCCTCCATCGCCACTATCTCCGTGTTCAGGTTGTGAATGCAACGCTGGTAGGAGTTGCTGACTTCATACTGCACTGCGACGCGCGCGCGATCCAGCAGGGCAATGCCACCCTGATCCCTTTTGTGACCACGGGATCGAACTGTGCGGCCGTTCTGGACGATGCAAGTGGTCCAGAAGACGGCTGGGCCCAGCTCGACGGACGCACTGAAGCACCGTGAGCGCACTCGCGCGTTGCCGAAACTCACATGCTCGAAGGCTGTCAGATCGTGGGCCTGGTCGTCCTGCAGCCTGTGGTAGGCGTTGCCACGTTGGAGCTGGTCGGCCCGCGCCCTCGGCATAGCTCGATAGAGTAGGCGTTGCCCAAAGAGATGCGGGCAGCCCCTCAACGACGCGGCGTGGCCAGCAGCGCCACAATAGAAACAATAACATAAGCCCTGCTGCAGATGCATGGCGGTGGCCTGGTCCAGCTGCTGCATTGGCTGCAACTTGGGCCACGCAACGTGGCGCGCGGGCTCCCCCGTAGGCTGGGGGCCCCCTGAAGGTTTGCAGCAAGGCGCTGAGTCAAACGCCCACGGGGGCGGAGGAGGATGAGGAGGAAAAGGAGGGGGAGCAGGAGAGGAGGAGGGATGCCATCCTGTGGCGTTGGGTCCTCGTTTTGAAGAGACAGCGCCCCGCGTTGCCTTCTCCTCCCGCTGCCCTCCCCCCGCCCCTCATCAGGGAGGGCTGAGAGAGGCCGGAGGTGTGTGTGCGTGTGTGTGCGTGTGTGTGTGTGCATGTGTGTGGGATCGCATGCGAACTTTGCCACTGGGGCCTTCGCTGGAGTTCCCTATGGGGCCGCGAACCGTGTCAGGGGTTCGCCGGCATTGGGGTGGAACCGCGTGCGAACTTTGCCGCTGGGGCCTTCGGTGGGAGGCCCGCGATGATGACGACGGCGATGATGATGACGATACTGATTTTGATGATTATGATTTCGATGATGATATGGGAGGAGGCTCGCGTTCCTCTAAACACCCTTCGCACCGATTGTCTAGCAAAGCCTTCGCACCGAGGGCTGTTTTCCTCTACGCAGCCTTCGCGCCGATTGTTTAGCCTCTACACAGCCCTCGCACCGATTCCTCTACGCAGCCTCCGCGCCAGATCGGATCGGCTACAGAGCAAAGCGGAGCAGAACAGAGCAACGAGAAGCTTCAATCCGACTGTGAGTCGTCAGTCTTCATATTATCCTCCATATCCTTGATGTAACCCTCGTCCCACTCACGGTTCAACTTGACGGAATCAAGGGCGGCGTCCACGGCTGTCTTGATCGTCGTCGCGCGGCTCTTGCACGCGCGAAGTCTCGCAGCTTGCCGCCAGCATTTCGTCTTCAGCACGTCGATCGTCTTCATCAATTTGAGGAATCGCTATCGCATGACGGGGCTGCACTTCATGATGAAAGCTGGCTTCACCCTTTTCTTAAAGGGCATTGCACCGCTGCGCCGCGGCCACGGCGCGGTAGGCTGGATGTCTCTTCGTTTCTGGCGGAATGTTGCTTGAGCGCAGATCGTGGCAACGGACCGAGGGAATAGAGGGGGCAGGAAGGGCCAGGGGGGGCTCCCCATGGGCCCACGAACCGCAGGGTGCGCCGGAATATGGAGGGGAGGGGCCTTCGGCGGAGCGGAGCTCTATATGGGGCCAGGCCCCCAATGGTTTAACGGGTCACTGCTGTTTAAGTGTAACATCATTGTACCGCGTC